ACCAACTCAATTTGGGATGGAAAAGAGAGTTTGTATAACTTAAGGGACTAACTAGGAAGACAATAAGAAGTTTGTGGCTTGTGTTGTGGTATGATCAATGATGTTCATGGAATGGAAACTTTCCACAAGAGAGCTGCAGAAGAAGAAGCTCTGTGTATAGAAAGACAAGAAAGGAATAGGAGAAGCTAAGAAGAGAGAGAGAGAGAGAGAGAGGGAGAGAGAGGATGGGAGAATATAATGTTTGGGTTTATACAATAGAGAGAAGAACAATTAATTAAAAGGGAAGAGTCTTTTTCAAAGTGGGTATTCCATTTATTGCTTCTTTTCCTGTCCTCCCCAATTCCAACTCCAAGCTCTTGATTCTTCTTATCATCTTATGTTTTTATCTCCAAATGGGTATCTTTCTCTTCTCCCTCCTTCTACCACTACTTCTCTTGCATTTGAATAAGGTGCAATTGAATAATAATGATGATGTGGAAGCCTAGGTGTAATGATGTAGATACCAATGGTTTAGTGTTAATGTTGAATTTTAAACATTTTCATGTCTTTCGAACTCTTTCAATAGTTTGAGTTATTGAAACAAACATATCGTTATCATAATATCTTTTAAAATGTTTGAGTCCTGATAAATTTTATGGTATTAATAATCAATTTAACATTCTCCATTTGCAACAATAACAATACACCATCTCAATACCAAGTCTTCATTGTTGCAAATTGCAATATATCTTGTCTTCGAGTCATCCTAACATTGACTTGTCTCGAGGCAAAACAACTTCGATGTTTTGTGTTCAACAAAGCAATACACATGGTGTAGCTAGAACATGTTACGAATTGCATCCATAAAAGGGGGGAAATACTTATGCCCACTTGAACAACAAATCTGAAACTAAATGCATAATGCCCATTTGGATGATAAATTTGAAAGCAAGAAAGGAGTATTAAATAGGTCATGTAGAACAAATGTGTAACCATACACTATAGTAAACTCAATCTAACGTGTAAGATAATCGGTGCAATTATAAACCCAAATGTGTGGGGCGCTTTTTCGTTATTCATATAAAGAAATAGGAGTAAAATTCAGTTTTTGCACCTCCTTTACCGACATAAACAAAGTAGCGATAAGGTGAAACAAAGAGGAGGAGGACATGTGAGCCCTCTGTTTGTAATTGTTTGAACAGAAAATGACCTTGTTGATTAGGCGCCAGCAAGGCTCTGCATTCAATAATCTCTTTCAAACTGTTCACAGCTTCATTTCTTCTCTTTCCAATCACTTCTGTTGTTATAATGTGTTTTAGGGGTTTGAAATAGCCGACTTGTCTACCTAGATAAGTTGACCTCCATCGTGTATCTTTTCATCATGGAAACGGGATCGCCGAGGGATCGTGCTTGCATCTTTGAACCCCCTTTGTGTTTGAATTTCGAGGACCCCCCATTTGTTAAGCGCACATCCCTTTCCAATTTAACTCATTCTATTAGTATATAACTTGCATGTTTTTTATTCACTCAACTATCAAGTTTTATCTAGACGTGAAGATATTCAATTCACTCTATTAAGGGGTCGTTTCCAACCAGATTTGAAGAATGGATTCATAGAATCAACAATCACAATTATCAAACATTTTAATTTTTTTTAACAATCCAAGAATTAAAATATTTGATTGTTTACAATATAAAGATTCAATCCAATTTTCCAAATGACCACTAATTGATTCAAGTTATGAATAAAAAAATGCAAAAAAAAAAAAAAACTTCAAGTTATGAACAACTCTAACCTAGCCCACCGGGAGGAAGCCTAACCCACTGATGGACAAGTGTTTTAAGCCCGATATGAAGCCCATATTAACTTGTGTCTTAAGACCGGCCCACAATATTTTTATATTTTCTTAAATGAAATCTAATACAAATAATTTATTCTGGTTATAATTTATGAATCACAAAAACTCCTTTATTTCCGCAAGAAACCAAAATAATAGGCGACTTGTAAACGCGAAAGCAAATTGGAAGAAAACCTCTGCAAGGCTCTCAATCGTTTCTCGGCCATGGCGACGGCGGCTTTCTCTCCTTCAACAACCACAGCACGCCAGTCCCCTCCATCGATCCTCCGTCTTCCCAATCGCTCACCGGCGGCCTTCTCTTCGCCTCCTAGTTCAGTCTCCTTCAGATTCTCCACCCCACCCAATCTCTCCCGTCGATCGTTTCTCTCCGTCAGATCATCTTCCGTCCCTGGTTACTCCTCTAATCCCTTCCTTCTCTCCCCGATTTAACGAGATTTGAAAAAGGATGGTGGAATTTCGTTTCTGAACATGTATATTGTATTTTGCCCCCCTTTTTTCTCGCAGCAGTCGCTCCGCCGTCTCCCGGGGGCGTGGCTCCGGCGGTGTCGGTGACGGAGGGTGCGTTGAAGCACCTGAATCGAATGAGGAGCGACCGAAATGAGGATTTGTGCTTGAGAATCGGAGTGAAGCAAGGCGGGTGCTCGGGGATGTCTTACACGATGGAGTTTGAGAATCGGGGCAACGCTAGACCCGACGATTCCGTGATGGAATACGACGGCTTCGTTATCGGTAATGTAACTTTTTAGATTCTCTCTATTGCGTCTTGTAGTTTGCTTTAGTAACTGAATTGGGGGGGAATTTGGAGGTGTTAGGAAATACAAGGTGAGAAGACAATTGATTTGTTTGGCTGGAAAGTGTAGAATTTGATGTAGGATAGTCTAGTCTGCCATTGCTAGCTAGGGTTTGATCTGCCAAGATCACTCTTTGGTTGTCCTTTCAGTGTGTGAATGAACTTCGCTGCTCAAATCTTAAGCTAGCTGAGATATTTTGGAGTGTTTCTTTTCGAGCTCTGGACTTTCCAGAATCGCTGAAAGATGAAGGGGTGTAGATAATATATATGATAGGGCTCCTTTTATGTGTTGATTTGATTCAATTATTGTCTCCTTTCTTTCTTTAAAATAGATATGGTTATGACGCCGTTTGTTTGCTGGGTATATCATAGCCTCAGATTACTGTGCTAGGCCAAACCTTTGGGGGCGTTTGCATTGGTAAAGGTTTAAACTTTGGACCGAGATGTAGAAGTCGGTTACTGATTTTCTTGTCAATAGACTTGCTTGGATAAATTGATGGTAGAGATATAAAACCATTTTTGTGCATAGACATATGTTTCCTTGTACATAGTACTTTTGTCAAACCCTATTGTTTGTTGAGACTTAAGAGGCTAGCTGCAAGTTAGATTTGCAATGAAAGCAAAAGACATTGCCAACTCCTTAGTTATCACGTATCAGTGTGGCACCAAATCACATGAAACAGCATGTCTGTCTCTCCTCTCTCCTGCTCTTGTATATCATGAATTCATGATTGCTTCACCCGTTGCATTTATGATGAGATCAACTTCAGGGGCAATCAGTTCCATTGCAGGGCCATCGAATTCCTATGTAATGGCTCGTTGCAAGGCGTTGGACCATGTATAGATGCTAACTTGTAGATGACCTAGAGCTGGTGTTGCATTGGTTACTTGGTGTCCACTCTTCTTAAATGTAGCATGAAATTCCAAAACTGGCATCCTGAGCTAATCTATTTCCTTTTCTTGGTGTGTTTGGTGCAGTTTGCGATCCAAAGAGCCTCCTATTCATATTCGGGATGCAGTTGGATTACAGTGACGCCCTCATCGGGGGTGGCTTCTCTTTCAAGAACCCTAATGCGACGCAGACGTGTGGCTGTGGTAAATCTTTTGCAGCGTAGATGTGATGAAGCTGCAGAAGGTTCATTTGTGATTCACAAAGTTGAATATTTACTGTGTAGACAAATGTTAGATGTAGCTCTCTAGCTGTAAAAGTAATTGTCTTTCTTGCAAATGGTGTAACGTATATCAGTGGCCTCACTGTGTTGTTTGAAGCTTGTACTCTTGTCAAACAAGTGATGCCTGTAAAAAAAGAACACATGGAATTACTTTGTCACTTCCGTATGTTTTTCTGGACCCGAAACTTTGAAGTTTGAGACTACTGATATATATGGGGTATGAACAATTTGACAAAACTGTGGTATGTAAAATCTAATCATCTCGAGTTAAATATGAGATCAACAATCATAAGTCTTAAGATGTTGAAATGTGTTCTGAAAAAGGTGTGATAAGAAGAAAAAAAAAAACTTGATAGGAATCATTTTGCTTTCTTTTCTTTTGGTTACTAAGATGTTTCCGTTCTTCATGCTGTCTCTTGCCTCTCCATGGATTCATCAGAGTATTGATTTCTCAACTTTAATGATCATGTTCGAGTAGATTACGATAGACGTCTATGTTATATGTCCTTGTCACTTTAATTATGCTATACTTCCTACTTGGTGCTTATGTGATTGTGACATCCACATTTATGTTAACTATGTCGTCGTTTGATGGTGAGCAAAGTTCTTTTAACATTTATAGAACGACCTACTTTTAACCATTTAGCTTCAGCATCACGAATCATTGCTCAGAAACATTTATAGAACGATCTATGTTAACCATTTATCGTTTGTCCTCATTATTCATTTATGGGAAGAGAAAAAAAAAATTGCACCTTTTAACGTGTAGTTAATCCACAATACTCGGAAAATTACCTTTTTGACATAACCACATGAGCACATTATCAATCTTACACAAACCTTGTGGACAAGAACACATTATCATAATGTAAAACTACTCTACTTTCAATTCATCGTATTTATCAGAAGTGCCACGTATGCTCAAATTCCACATTACACAAAAATTTGTTACAATTTATTACGCGCTCTCCAACGTAATCAACATGTTTAAAAGCCATACCTTAATTGTGTCTCGAGTGGATTGCCATCACAGCTGGAATTAATCCAACTAATCGTTGTAAATAGAATCCTAAACTTGGTAGATTACTACATAATATCCAATCTAAAAAGCAGACACAATAAATCAAAATTTTCCCTTCCCAAATAAACAAACTCTAACCCCAATTTCAACCTTTCAAATCTGTAACATTAAAATAATTTCACCATAAACCCTAAAACGAAAAGAAACAAAAGGAATTCCCCTTTTTTTTTTGTAAAACAAACAAAATCCGAATCTTTGCCGGATCAATACAATTCCGCCGGACCCAGATCCGCCAATGATCGAGAATCCGATCGTCGCCCCACGTCGCGGTCGAGGGCGGCCGCGGAAACATCCCAAGCCCGACGATCCCGCCGGGATCAACGCAGTCATCGGCAAGAAGCGTCGATCGTCGTCGAAATCCGCCGCGATTTCCAGGGCGGGGGACGAGGAGGGATCAGCCGTTCGCCGTCGGCCGCCGCCGCCGCAGAAGGGAGGCCGGCGGCGCCTGATCATACCGCGATGGCACAACAAGCGGGCCAGGAGCGCCTCGGACGCCCTCGCCGGAAGCCCCGTCGGGAAATCGACCCCGACCCAGACCCCGTGCTCGTCTTCTTTTTCCTCCGCCGGCTTCTATCGGCCGTTCGACGATGACGGCCGGGGAGATCCGAACATCGGTGGCGTCCTGGTTTTCCAGTGCCTGGCGGATTTCGACATCCCCGGGCCGATCCCGGATTTGGCCGATCTGATGAGCGACATGACCATTTTTCAGGATTTCTTCAATGACATAGATGAGTTTAACTATGGTTAAATTAAAAGGGTCTTTTTTATTTGTTCTTCCATTGTTGTAACCTGTTTGCTGTGTGATCTGTAAAATCGAATAGGGAAAGGGGATATCTTTTTTGGACGAATTGTACATTATGAACCCAATTCAAGTGTGTTCTTGATTGATTTTCTCAATGTCGTGTTAGTCAGACATTATAATACAAGAACCCAGAATTTATGTGTGTTCTAGTGAGCATAATCATATTCGAAATTAGAAAATTATAATCTGCGTCAATCACTTTTCGCAGGTGATGCACATACGTTCATCGATAAGTGTTCATAAACCGTCACGTAAGTCTTGAAAGATGTTGCTCTTCGTTTATATAAGCATTTGAATTTTTTTCTTCTTGCTGTTGAGTTGAATCATAATATAATTGCATGGAGTGTAGTAAAATTGTATAAGTTTTTGTTACATTGTGTATGCCGTAGAACTGTTCTGTGGTAGAACTTTTCACCAATATGCTAGTTTGTGTTGGGGTTAAGGTTATGATTGATGAAGGTCACTTAAAAATCGCCAATTCTGATGTGACACAAACTATCATTCAAACTGAGTTATCGTTATATCTCAACTTTTGATAGAGATAGTTGAGTGAATAGTGTTATATCTCGACTTTTAGTTTACGTGACATACCTGATCACACAATACCAAATATTGTATTTTACAATGAATCAAATTCATTGGTCAACACAATACATGTATTTAACTATAATCAACTTAGGAGTAGAGATGACAATTTCGACCTGACCTGTTTTACCCAACCCGTTTGGCCTGTTTTGGAGGGGGGGGGGGGGGGGGTCTGACCCGCCCTGTAGGTGGGGCGAGGCGAGCGTGGGTACTCTCATCGATCCGACCTGCCCTGACCCGCCCCATTCTCGACCCATTTTTGCTAGAATTACATGTAATCTTAGTCAAATTACTTAGAATTTTCCTTTAATTACATCATATTTTAGCTATAATAAAGTTGTAAATAAGTGAAAACCTCAATTTATCCAATAATTTAACTATATTTATCATAATATGGTTTGTTTTCTTGGTCTTATAATGAAATTAGTGAATATTTTCAATGTTTTCAATATAAATTGCATACCTACTAGGTCGACCTGTCCTGATCCGTAACCCATAATTAATTACTCGGTCTGAACCCGACCTACCACGAAACGAGTATGAATATGGTGAAACCCGCCCCGGACCTGCCCATTGCCATTCCTATTTCCTACTTAGTAGCCCTAAAATTTAGAACAAAAAGAAGGATAGAAAAGTAAAACAAATCGCAGGAGAATTATGACCGTCGATTAAAATCACGGGGGCGGGTATGAATGATCATGGATGACCCAGGAAATCCAACGGCGCAGAATAAAACGCAAACCTAAGAGGAAACACAGAACATAACCTTTTCTTCGTTCAATATACAAAGCAGAGACCGAAGCTCAGATTAGCACCTCCTCCCCCTCGCAGCTAAAAATCCCTTCCCGGAAGAAGAAGAAGAAAGAAACTGAGCTCTGCCCTAGTTACCAATGGCTTCCCGTCTCCTTTCCAGATCCAGACAGGTAAATTTCCTCTTTGCCTTCTTCACTTCGCGCGTTTCGAATCCCCGATGTTATCTGATAATCATTTGGCTACGATCAATTTACCCTTTGTTTCCTGGTCTTCGAAATCGTCGGGTGGGTTTTTGGTTTCCTTTGATTTCTACGATTAGTCGGGCATTTGCGGCGTTTCGGCTGATCATTGGAGGATTGGTCTGGTTGGCGGGTTTGTGTCGATGAGGCTTTTGGTTGTATATTAGGGTCTCCAGGAATTTAGTTGGGATCGTGTAATTGAGAGTGTATGAACCCTAGTGGCGATGAAAGTGAGTGACTTGTCCTTGATTTTTGGGGGAAATGAATAATGGGATAGTGTTGGAAGTTTAAGATTTGTGATTAAACACCGTGGGCATGAATGCGAGATTGTGTCTCTGTATGATGGTATTGAGGCATTTTGTCTGGATGTATACCTCAGTTCTGGGTATTTTTTCTTCTTCTTTCATTCTATTTTTTTCCACATTTCGCTGACTATTGGTTGTACTTGCTGATTTCTTTCTTTCTTGATTTTGGAAATATGCAGCTCTATGCTAGTCAGGTTGTTCTGCATGAGTCTGCCATTCCAGCTCGTTACTTTTCAGCTAAGTCTGAGCCGGAACTGAAGGGAGATGGTTAGTATGCTTGTCATAGTGGTATTTCTTTGCTGAGATTTTACCAGTCTTTGTAGAGCCACCTGAATCAATCGACAAACTAGTACAAAGTGCTAGCACCATTGTCTTAAGCTGTTTTCTAGAATAGTCAAAGTTCAAAGCTTTACTTTTTGAATGGAACTATGGCCAATGTGTGGAAATTCAGATTATGATTCCCTTCTGCCGAGTTGCTATTGCGGTTGCGAGCCATTCCCTGAGATAGGAACCTATTTTGTACAAAATAGGCTAGGCATTCAAGAACTGCATAACTTACTCAGGCGTAACTCATATGATTAATTCATCCAGGGAATGGCTAGATCTGGTAGCACTCCCAATATGTTGTTCTATTCTGTTCTTTGCATTATCCTTCACCTATATGAGAGATTATAGACCAATTCTTAGTGTATGTTGCTGAAAATGGGAGCTATAGGTGCTGACAATTGGTGTATATTTACCATGTTTTATTTTATCTTCTCAGTACTTGTCTTGACATCGACTTTTTATGTGTTCCTTTTATCGGAAAGTGATGCTGAAGAACATCTTTCTGGATGTGAAGAAAAAGTTTGAGACTGCAATGGGAATTCTTCGGAAGGAGAAGATAACCATTGCACCTGAAGATCCAGCTGCTGTTTCTCAATATGCGAAGGTTATGAAGACCATCAGAGAGAAGTAAGCTCTGATTTTCCTGTTTCAGGCACCTTATATCAGCACTGTCTATATTCATATTTCATCTGTTGATACTTGTGTCTCTTGCAGGACTGATTTGTGGACTGAATCTCAAACTATCAAGAATGCCATTGAGTCAGAGACAAAGGATATCCCAGATGCTCGTGGTTACTTGTTGAAATTGCAGGACATGAGAATTAAGTATGGACCCATTAACCTTCCATCTATGTAGTTTTAAAATGTCATTTGCTATATTTTCTCCTTTCTTCACCATTGTGGTGTTGATGCACTCTTCAATCCTTTCAATTTATTTTTTGTTACAGTTTCCAGCTCCTTCCATTATGTTTTGAGCTTTGTTATCTAAAAGCTTGGCTAGAGTGATCCGCAGTTGTTCTGTTGATCAACCATTGCCTTTTCACTTCTTTCATATTTCATTGTGATCTTTGTATACCTTGCCATTTTTCCTAGTAGATTTCAGATATCTTCATCTTGCATACAATGTGCTTTTGTTAATTTGCATCTTTGCTAATATCCTTCTTTGTGCAGGCAGGGTCTCAAGGACGAGCTCGGTGCTGAAGCTATGATGATGGATGCCTTGGAAAAAATTGAGAAAGAACTCAAGAAACCTCTCATGAGGAATGATAAGAAAGGAATGGCTAGTCTCATGGCTGAGTTTGACAAGATCAATCAGAAGTAAGTCTCAAACTTTTTTATTCTCTGCTTTTTTGTGGCTTCCCAGTCATGCTGACTGTCATATTTCCCCCCTTAAATTCAGTTGGAGAAAATTTGCCGAGCTATATTGTAGTTGAATATCATTAACTGTATAGAATAAAACAGAGTTCTTGAGATGTGAAAGAGAAAACTGAAATAATCTGTTTAAGTGCACCTGTTCTATGGGTCACATGATGCTTTTCACCGTCTTCGCCAATTTGATGGTCTTTTTGATATGATATTATAATGCTATCTAATTTTTTTTTTCTCGTATGGCTATGAAATTTCACTGCAACACCCTGTTTTTGGTCACCCAGATTGCTAGCTGTGTGGTAATTAGGATTTTCATTCAACTTCAGCGAATTCGCTGCACGGTTGTGTGTTCGGTTTGGAATCTGAAGGAAGATTAAGATAGACCGTTCTCATATCCTGTGATATTCATAATCAGGCTTGGAGTTAGGAGGGAAGACCTACCAAAGTATGAAGAACAGTTGGAACTCAAAATTGCCAAGGCACAATTAGAGGAACTGAAGAAGGAGGCTGAAGAGGCCATGGACACCCAAAAGAAAAGGTATTTATGAGAATAGCACGCGGACATGATAAGCCTAACCTCTCTATTTCGTTGTAACAATCTCTGTAATCTGATCTTTGTTACAGGGAGGAATTCAAGGACGAGGAAGTGCCAGATGTGAAATCTTTGGACATCCGGAACTTCATCTGAGGCTCTCACGGGCCCCTTGTTTCTTCTGCTGCTTCAATGTTGCTGCAACCTGATGGCGAGGAGACTCTGCTGCAATGTTGGTTTAAGATTGTGACGAATACCTCAACTCTGTTTTTGCTTGGAAAATAAGAAAGGCTCTTCTGTTTTCTTGGAGTACTGTTGCAACTGAGTAGTAGATATAATTTGAGAGTTTTATCGTGTTAATTCACTTGCAATCCAAGGAGTTCACATTCTCTTATTATGGAATCCCAATTCTGAAGGGTTAAGGAAGTCTCTGTCTACTCTTTAACTCCTTTCCCCAGGTTTGTCTTGCTAATGATTCTCTGGAAATAAAAACGAAGCAATTACCTTGCATGAAAGGTCACATTTTACTTACCCATGCTATCCTATTAGTGGCCCACTTTATGACTAAGTACTACCAAGTCTTTAACAGTTCACACGTTGATGAAGCAGCTCCATCATCGGATCTTATTTACAAAATGCCTCTCTTTCCTCCACTATGTCAGACTTCAGTTCACAGCCGAGCAGATGGTTGTGCTTGTTTAGATGTGTCACGATAGTCGTACACTCCGATCCCATGCTTTCGACCGAGCCTTCCTGCATCGACGTACTGCAAGAGAAGGGGGCAAGGGAGGTATTTGGTGTCACTTAACCCAGCGTGAAGAATCTTCATGACTGACAGGCAGACATCTAGTCCGATGAAGTCAGCGAGCTCCAGTGGACCCATTGGATGGTTCGTTCCTAGCTTCATCCCTGTGTCGATGTCCTCCTTTGTCGTTCCTAGCTTCGTTGATCATTGGCATCAGGATTCTGTTCACTATGAAGCCTGCAAAGTCCTGGGAGCAGATCACCGTCTTCATGAATCTGACCATTGAAAGACATGTTTCAGACATTGATCATGTAGCTGAGAAAGTGGACTTAAACAGCACCGATGGCTGATGCCACTAGACTTGCCAAATTCCTCTTAAGTTTAATGGTTGAGTTAGCTCAAAAACTGAACTTCTCTAGTTTCTCATGTTCAGTAATACTGCTGCAATTTCCATATGGTTACATGCTAGGAGTTGTTTCTAAGAGTCCAAATACTGACCTTTCTGCCAAGGCCTTGGTTGCAAGAAGCGTCCCATCCGATGTGTCTGCTCCCCGTACTATCTCAACCATCTTCATTACAGGAGGAGGATACGCAAAATGCATTCCAATCACCTTGCCATGGATAATACACTTCACCCTTGATACAAATGATACGACACGATCGATCTCCGGATGATATCACCTATGGATACTGTGGGAAATGACAGTCAAGTGCATAAGATTGTTTACACAGAGAAATCCAGTCTCCATGGTTTTACTGGTCTCTCACATTCAAGCCCTACCATTCTCTAAGGTCTCTCCAATTTACAGCATTTCAAAGTTCATATGAAAAACGAGAGCTTTTCATTTTCAAATTGCAAGTCAACTGATAGATTTTGTGGGGTGCATTTACTGCTGTCTAACTTCCTGTAGATGATCTCTATAAATGCAGAGTGATTTCCAAGCAGGTTAGTTTTTTACCTGAGAGATACGGCCTTTGGAGATCATGCGGCTAACGTTGCCGGCGATGAAGGTTTTGGCCCTGGACAGAGCTTCGGGATTCCTACCGTGTAGCCATACGTTGAGGCCATGGACGGCGGCGAGTTGAGCAATGCCTGTGCCCATTTGGCCGCAACCCACCACTCCAACCGCCTTGATCTCCGCCATTGTTTTGCTCTCGCTCAGTCGATTCCCTACTCGAAAAAGCTTCCAGCTTTCTTTCTAACTGGACAAGAAGACCCACATTAGTGTTTCTAACTGAGGTAGAAACACTAATCAGTAGTTCTCTTCATTTTACTCATTTCTCAAAGCAACCCAGCAGAGACCAAACCCCTAACCTTCAACGTTCCTTCTCTCCAGAGTCTAAAGCTCCAATTTCTCAATGCTCCAACACTGAAAAAGGTGTTCGTCCCTCCTGCATGTGAAGCAGCGGCCCCAGCAATTGAAGGAAAAAGAAAAAAAAGCAAAACATGGAAGGAAGAAACGTGAATTGCATTGGACTATAGGCAGGTGGGTGTGACAGATGGAATTGGATGGCAACGGTAATATTCGATTTAACATTTGCCAAAGGAAGAATTTGAGCTTTGGTTGCATTAGCAAATCCCAAATCTGTCTCAAGACCTTACTAACGTAAGCAAAAGAGTAACTAGTAACGATAAACAATTGTCCTGGCTCTCACCCATGTTCAGGGATAGATTCTAAACCTTTCTAACGCAAACGCTACCCTTTATTAATGGCCTACATTATGATTTCTAACAAGTCTTCACACGATGATGGAGAAGCAGCTCCATCATTGTCTCTTATTTAGGAAACGCTTCTCTCTTCCCTCCAACATGCCAGAGTTCGATCAGTTCAAAGCCGTGCAGACGGTTGTGCTTGTTTAGCAGCATCGCGATAGTAGTAGACTCCGACCCCACGCTTTCGACCGAGCCTTCCTGCATCGACGTACTGCACGAGAAGAGGGCAAGGGAGGTACTTGGTGTCGCCTAACCCGGTGTGAAGAACCTTCATGATCGACAGGCAGACGTCTAGTCCGATGAAGTCAGCAAGCTCCAGTGGGCCCATTGGATGATTCGTCCCTAGCTTCATCCCTGCGTCAATGTCCTCCTTCGTCGCCACTCCTGTGTAGAGAGTGTGGAATGCTTCGTTGATCATCGGCATCAGGATTCTGTTCACTATGAAGCCTGCAAAGTCCTGGGAGCAGATCACCGTCTTCTTGAATCTGACCATTGACAGACAAGTTTCAGACATTGATCATGTAGCTGATGCCACTAGGCTTGCCAATTTTTTCTCAAAGTTTAATGGTTGAGTTAGCACAAAAACTAAAGTTCAAAGATTTCTCTAGCTTCTCATGCTCAGCAACACTGGTGCAATTTACATTTGTTTACGTGCTACGAGTTGTTTCAAAGAGTCCAGATACTGACCTTTCTGCCAAGGCCTTGGTTGCAAGAAACGTCTCATCCGATGTGTCTGCCCCCCGCACTATCTCAACTAGCTTCATTATAGGAGGAGGATTCATAAAGTGCATTCCAATCACCTGCCATGGACAATACAATTCTCAAAACAAGTTGACGTGCCACGATTTACCAAGCATAACTTTGTTTTTCATGTATGAAGCAGAAGAGTCTACTTTTGAGCATCTACCTGGGGAGGTCTGCTAGTTGCAGATGCAATCCGAGTGATGGATATGGAGCTCGTGTTTGAAGCCAAGATGCCAGAAGGTTTGACGATCCGGTCCAGTTGCCGGAACAAGTTCTTCTTCACGTCTTCGGATTCCACGATGGCCTCGATAACTATATCTGCATCCTGAAAGTCTTCCAGATTTGTTGTGTAGCTTAGAAGGCTGAGAGCATTGTCACCATTGGCCTGTCAAAATGACGGATCTAATCAATACCGTTACCAATCAAAAATCTGAAAGGAAAAGTTCACTTCTTCGAATACCAAGTGAAAGAACGGGCCAAAGGATAGAAAATAGTCGACAAGAGCGGTGAATCATTTGCAGTTAGTGAAGTTCTGCAGCAAATTTGGGCCAAGTTTCATATCAGAAGATTATTCTATCAGGAGAACATCAGGCATTTAAGCAACACAAGAAAATTAACATTTCCTTAGCAATTTTCAGTGCATAAGATTGTTTACACTGAGAAATTCAGTCTCCATGGTTTCCCTGGTTTCTTTCATTCAAGACCTACAATCTCTCAGGTCTCTCCAATCTACAGCATTTCAAAATTCTAACAGTCAGACTAGCTGAAAACATCCCTTTCAATCTAGAACCAATTGTACCAAAGATTGATCATGACATCCTTGCCAACAAAAGCTATGGAGCCAGTTCAAATTACAGCAATCCGACCTCGAAGAAAAAAAAATTCAATTTCAAGCATTCAGTTCCACAAGTATATGAGAGCTTTTCAGTTTCGAATTTCAAGTCAACCGATAAATTTTTGTGGGGCGCATTTTACTGCTGTCTAACTTCCTCTAGATGATCTCTACAAATACAGACCGATTTTCAACCAGTCCAGATTTACCTGAGAGATATGGCCTTTGGAGATCATGCGGCGAACGTTGCCGGCGATGAAGGTTTTGGCTCTGGACAGAGCTTCGGGATCGCTGTCGAGGAGCCATACCTTGAGGCCATGGACGGCGGCGAGTTGAGCGATGCCGGAGCCCATTTGGCCGCTACCCACCACTCCCACCGCCTTGATCTCCACCATTTTTGCTCTTGCTCAGTCTATTTCCTACTCGAACAAGCTCGCAGCTTTCCTTCTAAGTTCTAACTGGATAAGAAGACCGATGGATCCTTGCTAATTATTACTTCATTTATTGATTACTTAATTATTATCTAATTGCAAGTTTTTGTGTAATAAATTAATAAACAAATGACTGTAACAAAAAAAAGTAAAAAGGTCTGCTAGCAGAAAGTCGCGCGAAAATTGGGTTTGGGGAAGTACTCATCAGTTCTCTTCCTTTTACTCATTTTTTGAAGCAACCCATCAAATCCCTAACCTTCAACGTTCCTTCTCCCCACAGTCTCCAATTTCTCAATGCTCCAACACTGAAAAGGTAGCTCCTTTTTCAGTTTTCAATACTGGTCGCCCTTCGACGAGTCATTCAACGGCTGCCGCGACGGCTCGTCATTCCCTCCGCCGCCCTCGGATTGCTGGCGCTCGCCGGTCGACGATTAAGGAGAAGTAGAGACCAGGTATGAACAGTAACCATTTTGCTTCTCCATTTTCTTGTTATCTGTTCGTTTCGTTAGATCAATTGACTGTCATTGTGAAACCTGATTGTTTTAACTGTTTTCCTTTTCGAGCTGTATATTGGTGATCTGGGAATTAGTTTGTTAAGCTTGGTCTGCTGAAGAGTGAGCAATTGGAGGCAGAAGCTTTTTGGTTTTTTAGCCTACATTTGGTGATTAGGTAGATATCTTCAGATTTCTTGCCCTCAAATTTGATCTGGTTCTGTTTGAAAATAGGAAGCTTTGTGCTTTTTGTGCAATTTGGTGGATTGTATGCTAGGGGAGGCTATGTTTCTCATCCTTGGCAGGTTGCTTGCAGGATAGGTCTAGTTACTGTTTCTTGCTAGTGGAGAAACTGAGATGGAAGCAAGGTGGAAAAAGTGGTGTCCTTGGGGGATATTATTACTTCATGGCTTAGCTATACTCATTTTCACCAAAGGGTTCTTGCTAACTCGAACCGAGCTTCCCTACTACAGCAACTGCTCTGATATCTCCGTATCTCCTTGCTTATCTTCTCCTGATGCCAATGTTGATAATCATAGTAGTGGTCATTCGGAAAATGCGAAACAGGACCAGCATTGTTGGAGCAAACCTGCTGTGGACCGATTGGTCATCATTATTCTGGATGCCCTCAGGTAGTATTTCTTCTCTGGTGGGGTTTGGTTGGCTATAATTTGAAACAGAAATGCTGAAGTATATCTTCCCCTTCTCCTAGATTTGATTTTGTTGCTCCGAGTGCTTTTTTCCCAGGTTAGTCTGATACTTATTCTCTTATTGCTCTCTCTCTGGAAATGTACATATTTTTGTGTTCAACTAAAACCCTAGACAAAATGCTAAATTGCTTTTATGTATCGTTCTCAATTTCATTTAGTACTGTGCTTCCAAATTTTCCTTTTAGCTTTGTTATATATTAGTTCATATAAAACTGATGTAACCTGGATTTTAATGCTCAGAGAAAAAACCATGGATGGACAAACTACCGGTGTTACAGAATCTGGCCTTCACACAGGGATCATCTGCCAAGATATTCAAGGCTATTGCAGATCCTCCAACTACTAGTCTCCAGCGCTTGAAGGTCTAAAGTTATCCCTTTCTAGGTGTCATTTCATTTACTCAAATTTATTTTTCCTCGCACTCTTACCATTCAGCCTTGGGCATTTAGTCACTGCTGTAACCAGGATGTTCTCTTTCTGGCATTTATAATTGGGACTTTCACAAACAAGATACACTGTTTGGCATATTGCAATATTTCAGGGCTTGACCACTGGTGGACTGCCTACTTTTGTTGATGTAGGAAATAGCTTCGGTGCTCCAGCCATTGTTGAAGACAACCTAATACATCAGGTTTGCTCAATTTTTGGGTGATTTCATTTGCAAATGGTCCTTAAGCACAACTCCCATTTTCTAGTTCTCTGTGATCAATCCACGGTTCTTGATGTGGTCTAGTTCTCATGTTGGATTCAATGTGCAGTTGGTATCAAATGGAAAGCGTGTGGTGATGATGGGCGATGACACATGGGTTCAATTGTTTCCAGACCATTTTAACAAATCTTATCCTTATCCATCTTTTAATGTCAAAGATCTTGATACGGTATTGCCATTTCACCATTTTCTTCCTTTCCCAGCATGAATGTAGATTCCATCAAGCTGTTTTCTAATCATTGTTAGGTACTTAGTACTTACATAGCTCAAATTATTCAATGCTCCAGGTCGACAATGGATGCAACACACATATATTCGAAACCTTATATCAAGAAGACTGGGATGTACTTGTTGCACATTTTCTTGGTGTGGTAAGAATACATCACTCATTCTATCGCGGCGCGTACGGCATAGTTGCAACTGAGAACCATCATCGACTAATCATTTACAAATTCTAATCATTTACAAAAAATTCAATTTGCAAGGCGTGACAATGTATTACCATGTTCTTCCCTTGATGTTGTCGTCCTCCCTAGAACCTGATGTGTTCTTAGACTTCAGTTCTCTAGCTTATGTGCCTTTTATATTGAACGTGGTTCTTTGTGATATTTTATGCAGGACCATGCTGGTCACATATTTGGTGTTGATTCCGTGCAAATGATAGGAAAATTGGAGCAATATAATCAGATTTTGGAGGTAATTTTCAAAGACCAAGTTGTATTTTGGCTGTTTCAATTGGAGGGGGCTGTTTTATATAGTTGTATATGCATGCTACGAACACCACCATGACATTTGCTTAAACTGGGCAACTTCTTGGGAGTTGGGACTATCATCTAAACAACAATTGCATTGTAGCCTCCATAATTTGGCCACATGTTTTCTTCAGAAAGTAATTGAAACGCTGGTCAGAAAATCTGAACCTGGTGGCTTACATGAAAATACTATTCTGCTTGTTATGGGTGACCATGGACAAACACTAAATGGCGATCATGGAGGAGGGAGTGCTGAAGAGGTATATAGTTTATTCTTCGGTACTTGGATTTCGGTTTTCTCTGGTTTCTATCATGTCATAAACTTGAATCGTGATGCAGGTTGAGACAACATTGTTTGCAATGGGTTTTAAGCAGCCTCCTTCTGTGGTCCCTCATGAATTTGATTCCTCATCTTGCCTATTAGATTCGGTATCCATTCCCTCTTAGCAAAATGTATCTTTATTGATTCTTTCTTTGTCCAAACTTTTTGTCCAGTAGCATAATCTGTGCGGATTTTTTACCTTTTTACATGAATTGTGCCTTTTAATTTCAGGATGGGAAGAAGTGTGTAAGCTCTATTCAGCAGGTGAGCATAATCTTATTTAGGTAAAATAAATGGATCTTTTTATGCTTGCCTTGATCAAAATTACTTATATCTGTGACTTTATACAGCTCGACTTTGCAGCGACTGTCTCGGCATTGCTCGGTATTCCCTTTCCTTTTGGAAGGTACTACATACGTATCCTCAGCAGTTGCACTATCTGAAATCTCTTGGAATGTGGAGATGCTATGATCTGACTTCCTTTTGTCTGTTATCCTCTTTACGAGTTTGAATGAGACTTATATTTATGATGAGAAGGATACAAAGCAGAACCTTTTTAGATTTCTCTAGCATAATCTTTTTAAGTGGTTATATGCATATTCCACATGCATTTACAGTTCAAAAGTGAAACACGGAAATGTGAAATCATTGCAAACAATTTGAGTTCCTGAGATCTGAAGGTGAATGGAAATGGGGTATACAGAAGCACTTGATCCGAAGTTATAGAAATTGACTTATTACTGTTTAAAATATTGTAAATCTCTATTGGGATTGTTACTTAATCAGATTGAGATGCTATTTCCAGCATTGGGTCTGTGAACGCTGAGCTATATGCTTTAGCTGCTGGCACATGGAACTGGAGGGATCTTGACACTTCCAATCAGAAACATCAGTCAGAGATGGAAAAATGGATGAAGAACTATGTGAATACACTTTGCGTGAATTCTTGGCAGGTATATTTTTGTTATTTCACAGTGGCATGCTATGAGAACCACGTTGTACTATTTACCTCCTTCCCTCTATCAACCACATGCATATTTTCTTTGTAGGTCAAAAGATATATTGATGTTTATTCAGCTTCATCAATCATTGGATTCTCATCTGAAGACTTGGCTCACATATCTAACAAATATGCGGAGTTGGAGGAGAACTGGTCCCATTCTATAAGAAACTTACTCACATGCCAAACTGAGAGCTGTAGCTTAGTAATGGCTCAGATTACCAAGCAAGTTAATCTTTATCTTGATTTCCTATCACATGTCTCAGAGCTAGCTCGTTCCAAGTGGACTGAATTTAATTTGAAGATGATGGGCATTGGTCTTGGGACAATGATATTGTCGCTGTTGATAATAAGTCTTGCTATATGGAGTATGCCTACAGTCTCTGGAATAGGCTTTGAGTCAATATTTGCCTTTCTTGTGGTGGTAATACGTGCATGCAGCTTCCTTTCAAACAGTTTTATATGTAAGTGATGGGATTTAAACTTGGTTTGGTTGCAGAGCTATTGTTACTTGTCATCCCATCAACTCATTTGTTTCGCTTAAAACTTGTGAAACAGTGGAAGAAGGGAAAGTTGCTTGTTTTTTGCTGGCCACAACTGGCATTGTCAAATTACGTTATTCTATAATGAGAAAAGGGATGCTAGTTGAAGTATGTACTGCTCCCCCTTATATTTATCTTCATGGAATTCCATATACAGTCTTCCAAGCAATTGCTCCTTGCTCCAATGAACTGAATATGTGGTTCGATGTCTTTTGCAGGCGATTTTATTCCTTCTATTGGTCTTAGGTCTCAGATTTACAATTGAAATTGGGATGTCAAAACAGGCTGCCACTTCAGCATTCATGCATGCTTCATCTTCTTGGATAACTGGGATTGCTCTTGGCGATTCCTTGTGGGGTTATGCTGCTGAAGTTGGGCCTCTCCTAGTATTAGTTGTGCTGTCTTGCATAGCTTACAAAGTGATTACTGGGAACTTCCAAGGCATTCAGAAGTACATTATCATGTTAACAATTCCAAGCTATATTCTCATAGGGCTGCACTGGGTGCTCGAGAGCGACACACAAAATTTGCCTCTTCTGTTCGAAGGAATTGGGAGGAACTACATCCCTCAAGCAATATATGCCCTTGGCTGTTCCCAACTTCTGTTTCTGGCATTTGGCATGCTTTTCAATGAAGACAAAGTTGCAGATCATAAAAATAGCCTGATGATTAAGACATTATCCATTTTGTCTGCATGGAGTCCAATGATTATTTTGTTGTCTGGGAAACAAGGTTCATGGATTGCGTTGGCATCAATAGTTGGAGGTTCTATTCTTCACCTTTCAAATTTTATATGTAATTATTGATAGCAAATCCTCTCTTAGTTTCTAGTGCTTCACAATTGTTCAAATATTGGGTTCATTTTGCTTAGATTGAAAGGAAATGAAGAATAGATTTATATCCCCAAAATGTCCAATCTCCTATTGCGTAAAAAGAACTTTGCATATTGGCAGGGTACTGTATAACAAGGTTGCAGAATACAGGAAAAGATGCAATTGGTGGGAAAGCTAGAACCTCAAGCTTCAATCTTCTCGCTGTGACACAATGGAACCTTTTAGCAGTATGTCTGTTTTTCGCCTCAGGGCACTGGTAAGAATGCTTGCTTCGTATTTGACATTGTTATTTACAAAATGACACCCTCATGATGCAAGCATATCTAAGAGAATTTTTTTCTCAGGTGTGCTTTTGATGGCCTTCGCTATGGTGCTGCATTTATTGGGTTAGTCATATGGAACGCTTAGAAGTATTCCTTCAATTCCCAGCAAGCGGTTTACTGATAAACCATTGTGATAATTTTGTTTTTTATGTTACAGATTTGACGAGTTTGTACTTGTCCGTCAAGCAATCCTTCTAACTTTGGATACATTTGGATTTTCCCTCATTCTTCCCGTTATCGGGCTCCCATTTCTTCTTCTGGGTCTCAACCAAACTAACCCTGGGAAGAATGTTCTTTTCAATCAGTTGTCTCAGGTGAGGTTTATTATCCATTCTGAAAACAAACATGCCCTAAACGTGCGTTATTGTTATGATTCGTTATCTGTGGTAACATCCATGTCATTTAGTTTTTACAACCTTTTTTCTGATTCATTGGCAGATGTATATGGCTTATGGACTCATCACAGCGACCACAGTGACAGCCACTATATTATGCGTTACTATCCAGAGGAGGCATCTCATGGTAATGCACAAAACTAGCTAGCCCCCAAATGATCGAATCAATGTATTTAACCTTGTACCACTTGCTGTGTTCCCTTGTTAACGTTGGATGCTGCATCATCCTTTGCAGGTCTGGGGGCTGTTTGCTCCAAAATTCGTTTTCGACGTGGTTGGTCTTGTCCTGACAGAAGTCATGATTTGCCTGGCTTCCCTTTTCTATTTCAGAAGATGGGTTGTCTTATGAAGAGCTCAGAATTCTGCTCACGGACACAAGTAGTACTCCTGAGAATCTTCGTCCTGTTTTTCGTGTGCTTCTTTACCTAGCAAGTTCAGGATCAGGGAAAAGTGTCATTTTCTTTATGTGCTTTCGCACTAATTACGTCCCTGCATTCAATTCCATACGATGATTCTTTGAAACCGTTCGGGTGCCTGGAAATGGCCATATCCTGGAAGAGGACTGCAAATTTAGATTGATTCAAAGAGCCTCCTGTAACATTTGCCTGTCTCAGGTTCAGAAGCAGCATCTCTTGGACAGTTTCATCCTCCGCCCTCCTCCTCCGCTATCTCGAGGTGCAAAAAGCTACTGCCTTTCTGAAGTTATGGTGGTGATCGGTTTGATTGTTTCGTAGATCAGGACTCCCCAAGTTCTGTTGTGCTAGTCATTCTTACAGTAGCAATGATACTGGTTTTTTTTTTGCCATTTGGAAGTCTGGAATCTCTCTTGGTCTCCTTTTGATTATAGTATAACATGTTTAGGGTTTATCTTTGCACATCTTTTCCACATAATGCATTTCTATATGGATCCAAAGGGAACTTTAATATTATATGAAGCTATGATAGATATAACTGAACCTGAAAACAAAACATGAACTACCCTTTCTCCACGTACGTAAGCCTCCCTAACTGAAGATGACAGCTTTTCAATTATATATCCTTTTTTGTGGTTTCAACGAACGAGAATGGAGAAATCGGCAAAGACAGTGGTTCGTTGCCATTGCGTCACCAACAACAACAGCAGCTAAACACTCAACAACTGCTAAATAAAATTAATTTAATTACATTATTTTACAGAAGTTAATTAATTAACAAGAACCAGCCGTCTGAAAGGATTCGTTAAAACAAATATTATACCCTATAATATACCAACTAATTAACTCCCTCCAATTACAATCAGGCTTCTCGAAGTCGCAAGTCAAATCAAATCAGACAAAGAACACTTGATAATTAATGCTGAAAACGAGTATTTGTGTGCTGCACGGCTGTTTTAGCATGACTTCTATTACTTAATCTAATGGTAGGGCTTTGGTTCATTGACGTAGGTGGAGATATAATTTACATATACTCTGAGGATAAGGTACTTCGAGTGATTGGATTATTGGATGTACTTATATTTCGTTATATTTCGACAAATCAAAATTGTCCATTATCGTTTTTTATTAAATTGATCTACGAGTATGAATTATAACATCGAGACTTCAGGTTTATCCATTAAAAGTTTGAGCATATATAGTATCATAGTATAGTTTATAGTCTGGAAAGATATATCTCACTAACTAGGATCGCTAGCAGTATCGTATATTCCACGAGAACAACAGCTTGACCCGTAGAGATTAAGTTTCCTTCAACTCAGAAATGACATAAAAACATAGAGTCAAAATGCTACACAACATATACATGATTAAGCATAGCTTGTATCATTTGATATTTGTGATGAATTAGTGGCTCTTTTGTAATTTTAGCTTTGTTGCACTTAGCAGTGTAGTTGGGATTTGTACCGAGAATGCATCGTTTAAGCTTGTATGATTTGATATTTGTGATGAATTTAGATAAAGTATATGAATTTGGTTTATTATTGCTATCGGCTCAATATTTGATGTTCAATACATATAATTTAGAAAAATAACGAATAGGTTGGTGTGGATTCATAACAGTTTGATAGAGTTATCCACGCACCGATCATGCACGTCAAAGATCGGTTGATCATATGACAATTTATGTAAACCACTTTATCTTTCTACAATGACATCAGGTCATCCAATATTATGTGTTTGGGTAGCTACAAGTCATATTTACTCAAACCGCTCAATTATTAACGAACGAACTTTCACCGAAAAATCGTCCAACCCACACAATGTCCATTCATACCTAACTATGTCCAGTTAACTAGCTACATGAAAATTAGGTCCGGGTAATTTTTTCACAAATCAAAGTTTAGTTACCCATTCATTGATAACCACGAAGTTAGGGCTCCATTGACCCTCTTATTCGCTTCTCTCTTAAATATGAACTTCTGGGGACTAAAATTGGAAGAAAATTGACTTCTTATTTCTTAACCATTGGCCGATTAGTCTGGTCAAATTAATATGGCAAAAGTACTACGTTGCATGGTTAAACCATCAAGACTGTTTCCGATTCAATTCACAGAATATTTTATTTTATTTTCTTCAGCACATAGTTTTTTGAGCTAGGGTTGCAAAAGCCAAATACCCATTTGAAGAAGTACATGGGTGAAGAAGCCCTTCTCTCCTGACCCAAACAGGCATACATAAAGCTGGTTTCTTTCTATAACTTTGGGCCATGTAAACAAGAATCGGATCTCAAGACTGATCTATAGGAATGAACTCTAGGATTCATTTTATTTTTATTTCTATGTGGATTCATATGATGTTTGATTAGCTAGCTAATTTACGTGCTAAGGTGACTAAGAGTTCATTTACTTGTGTATTTCATGTATGTGGGGTAGATTTAGGACTTAGGAGATCACAAACAAAATTTCATGGTTCCTCTCTCTCTCTCCTCCCTCTTCTTCTCCGCCTCCCCTCTTCTGTGGGAAACCGTCGTCCGACTTGATCAATCGTGGTCTTCTCAGGTGACATCAATCAACGAAGGCTCAACCATTAAAGGCAAGCTAGAGCCTGCAATTTGTTACTAGAACCCTAAAACTATCATGGTAGGTTCATGTTTAGGTCTTTGACTTCGTTCATATACTAAATATCTTTGTCCATTCTTGTAAATCTTGATGGAGATGATAATGTCACAATTATCGGTTCAAACAAGTTGATGCTTGTGCTTAATCTGGATAATGAACACAATCATTGACCATAAAGAGGTGATCTTTAATGAGAATTATAGCTCAAATCCTCATAACAACAGTCATATTACGGTCACATCCCCGCACAAAATACGTAACGAGAAGATTAATTAGGTAACTAAGTCGAGTCTAACATCTACTTCCCTTGCAATTGATATCCTTGAGCTGAACTTTTATCTCTAGTATCTTAGACTTGGCTTGCACTAAAATGTTTGAACATCTTTGTTTGAAGTAAACAAATTCAACCATCCCCTTCCCTAAGTCACCACATTTCAAAGCACAAGAAATCATAGATGGCACCCTATTATAATTGCTCCTTGCTTACTACCAATATTGGTCCCCTCATCCTCCCCCTCCTAAAAACTACTTTCCTTCCTTCCAAACTTTTCCCCACCTTTCCTCCATGATAATAATAAACTCACTCACTTCAATTATTCTCCCCTCTGAAAAACACACATATTCATATGCATCTACACTTGCTCATGTCCCCCATCTCCATTCCCATATTCCCTATCTTCCCCCACCACTCCCTCTATATAACCAAAAGTCACTCCCTACCTTTCCTTCCCCTTCTCCCCAAACTCCCAAACTCTCTCTCTCTCTCTCTCTAGAAATCATCAGTCACCAAACACTCCCTCCACAGTCTCCAAAAGAAAGTAGTTAAGTAACTAACTCCCTTCCTTCTCCTATTCTTCTTCTTCCTCTTCTTCAAGAAGAAAGCTTCTCCCATCTCAATGCCATCTCTCTCCATCTCCTTCCTCTGAAATTCCTCCAAAGCTCCAATCTTTCTTCCCTCCCCTCGAAAACCCACTTCTCAAAATCCACCAAAAAGGAGAAATTCTTCTTCTTCTTCTTCTTCTTCCATTTCAATGTCATCTCCCCTGTTCTTCCTCTGAAAACCCTCCAAAGTTCCAATCTTTCCTCCTTCCCTAACAAAACCCACTTCTCAAAAAACTGCTGCCGCCGCCATGATTACATGGAAAGACCTCTACACCGTGATGACGGCGGTGGTCCCTCTCTACGTCGCCATGATCCTCGCCTACGGCTCCGTCCGGTGGTGGAAGATCTTCACGCCGGACCAGTGCTCCGGGATCAACCGTTTCGTCGCCATTTTCGCCGTACCACTCCTCTCCTTCCACTTCATCTCCACCAACGACCCTTACGCGATGAACTTCCGGTTCATCGCCGCCGACACCCTGCAAAAAATCATCATGCTCTTCGCCCTCGGAATCTGGACCAACGTCACCAAATCGGGCAGCCTCGAGTGGATGATTACCATTTTCTCCCTCTCCACTTTACCGAACACCTTGGTGATGGGAATCCCTCTGCTAATCGCCATGTACGGGCCGTACGCCGGGAGCTTGATGGTTCAAGTCGTCGTCTTGCAGTGCATCATTTGGTACACTCTGCTTTTGTTCCTGTTCGAATACAGGGGAGCCAAGATTTTAATCATGGAGCAGTTCCCCGAAACGGCGGCGTCGATCGTGTCGTTTAAGGTCGACTCCGACGTCGTTTCGCTCGACGGGAGGGAGTTTCTGGAGACGGATGCTGAGATTGGGGACGACGGGAAGCTTCACGTTAAAGTGAGGAAGTCGAATGTTTCGAGGCGGTCGGTTTCCGGGTTGGGATTGGGGGGAAATGGAGGAGTCGGGTCGTTTTCCGGGTTGACTCCTCGTCCATCGAATTTGACCGGCGCCGAGATCTACAGCCTGAGCTCGTCGAGGAATCCGACTCCCCGGGGTTCGAATTTCAATCCGGCGGATTTCTACTCGATGATGGGGGTCCAGGGGTTCGGGTCGGGGCAGGGCCCGAGGGTCTCGAATTTCGGGGCGGCGGATTTGTACTCTGTTCAGTCCTCTCGCGGGCCTACTCCCCGGCCGTCGAATTTCGAGGAGAATTGCGCCGGTACGGCCGCCGGGGTGTCGCCGAGGTTCGGGTACTACCCTGCTCCGAACCCGGAATTCTCTTCCGCCGCGGCGGCAGCAGCTCCGGCGAAGGGAGCGAAGAGCAATCCTCCGCCGCCGGCGGGAGCAGGGGCAACATTGCAGCCGAGTAGCAACAATGGTGGCAGCGGGAAATCGAACCATGACGCCAAGGAGCTTCATATGTTCGTCTGGAGTTCGAGCAATTCTCCGGTGTCGGAAGCTGGCGGTGGAGGTGGTGCCGGCGCCGCCGGACTCCACGTTTTCGGCGGGTCGAATGAGTCCGATCAGGGCGCCAAGGAAATTAGGATGCTTGTCGCCGATCATCCCCAAAACGGAGAAACAGCTAAAGGTATCGACTTTCTGGTTTTTTTTTTCTCTCTCTCTAATTACTAATCTGATTCCCAATTTCCCGGCCAACATTATGTTTAACCCGCTTTCACCGGAAGCAGGGGAGTTCCCCGGCGGCGAGGATTTCAGCTTCGCGGCGAAAGAAGGGGAAGACGAGAAGGAGAAAGAAGTGGGAGAAGGGCTGATGGGTCTGAACAAGATGGGATCGACGGAGATAGACCCGAAAGCCGCCGCTGCTGTGGCGGCCGGGGAAGGAGACGGCGGCGGGGGGAGGAACAGGCAAATGCCGCCGGCGAGCGTGATGACGCGGCTAATTCTAATCATGGTATGGCGGAAGCTGATCCGCAACCCCAACACGTACTCCAGCCTCATTGGGCTCACATGGTCCCTCGTCGCCTTTCGGTCAGTAATTTTCACAAACAGTTACCGTGCAACTCTTTTTTTTTCTCTTTTGCTCGAGGAACATAATTTCCTTAACTGGTAAAAATGAATTTTGGTGCAGTTGGCACGTAGCAATGCCTAAAATAATAGAGAAGTCGATCTCCATACTGTCCGATGCTGGGCTTGGAATGGCTATGTTCAGCTTAGGTAAGCACTCTTTCACCTAATGGTCCATGAGTTTCATTGGAGATGTTGGCTCAAATCTGTCATTCTTATAGTGTATATATTCATATTTGTACTAATCGGACAATTCATACCATTTCGTCCATCTATTGGACACATTGATAATGTTGAAAATAATGTCAATACGCTTGAAAGATCGGTGGAGGATGATAATGTCATCGTACCTATATATATCTATCCACTAGAAGTTTAAAGATGTGAGATTTCGAGAGGCAGATGTTATATTGTTGTTTATAAAAAGTGGAGGAAAAATTAAAATAAGATTAGAAAAGGGGTTATGTGTCAATGGTTGTACAACTCACAACCATCCATTATAAAAAAAATTCAATTTTCATGATGTGTTTTTCTTTTCTTCTTTCATTTTCAGGTTTTCTTTTATTGGTTTAATTTATGGTAGAAAAAGGACATAGAGATGCCAAAATGAAAGAAAATGAAGTTTTTTTTAATAAAATTAATTAGTTAATATTGTTTTGGGTTTAATATAAGGGGGAAAGATAGAAATTGACCCACCAGACAAAAATGGGGCCTGACTTCACTTTGAGGAGGGTCCATGGGTGGGTGGGTATTAGTTGTGATGATAGAGATGCATCCCTTCTTTTAGCTTTGCCTCTCTTTTCAATTTATGATGAATCCCTAACTTAAATACAATTCAAAGTAGAATAAGATCATCATATCACACACAAAAACATTAAAAAAAAAATCTTTCATATCATAGTATAGCTAGGTTCCATACTTTAAAAGTCACAAATTCGGATACGACAAGACGTTTTATTGATGTTTAATCAATTAGCAGGTCTGACAGGATTACTATCTCTTGTATAATTGCATTTCAAGTAGCCAGAAACTTAGCAAAAGAAAAGACATCACCAGTTCAGTTAGATGTTTGATGGTTCTGGGTCTGAATGAGCATAATCATTATGTACGGTCTGAAATCTTACCGATCAACATATACTTAACCGGATCACAAGAAACGAAGGGAACATTGGGAATCGAGACCAATTTGATGTACACTCTTAATTCAATTTGACGGTTTTCTTCCTTAGAATGATCTGATTCAAACGTTGAGTCAGCTCTCTCGATGTAGACCTTCTTGTTTTACTAGTAACATTTATTTTTATGGTGTGGTTTGAAACATGGATGTAGGGTTGTTCATGGCTCTGCAACCCAAGATAATAGCTTGTGGGAATTCAGTGGCATCGTTTGCCATGGCTGTTAGGTTCCTGACAGGTCCAGCTGTGATGGCTGCAGCTTCCATTGCTGTTGGACTACGTGGTACCCTTCTCCATATTGCCATTGTTCAGGTATCCTGTTTTTTCCTTAATTAAGGCTGACTTTGATTTATTTTCCTGCTCAAATCTCTAGTTAGTTAGGATTCTTTTTTGATAAAAACATGAATTTGGTCTTTGGGGTTGTAGGTAGGTCAAAGAGTATCTTGTTGGGTTTCTTATCCATCTACAAATGTGTTGTTTGGACTATATATTCATAACTTACTTGGAACTTAAAATATGCAAATTGATGTTGTCAACTACATAGTTAGGGTTCATGTCAATTATCATTAATGTTGCTGGGATGGCAAGTTAATTATTTTTAAATTCGTTATGTTAGTGACTTCGAAATTTAGTGACCCACGTATGTCGTACTTAGCTCGACATGAAGAACGAACGCATTCTTTTTTAGGATAATGTTAAACCAGTTCATGAAGATTTGATTTGGAATTTGATTGTATCGTTGACATCAAGCGGCTTGAGCATGCTAATTGGGCTGGTTAATTCAAGAGTCTAGAGTTACTTCGTCCTAGCTAGTCTTTTTCCTCGAATCAAATGCGTGGTGATTTAATAAATAATTAGTAATTGGTAATAATTAGGGTTCTTTTAACTCATATGACATAATTGTTCTTAGGGAAATATTTGCTTACAATAATTTTATATAATATATTATGGTAATGAAATTTTCAGGCTGCCTTGCCACAAGGGATTGTACCCTTCGTCTTCGCCAAGGAGTACAACGTCCACCCTGCAATTCTCAGCACTGCGTAAGCTAATCAAAACCCTTCCAATTAAGTTGATTAGTTAGTCCTTTGGCTTAACTATAATCCTACTATCCATATATGTCTTGCAGGGTTATCTTTGGAATGTTGATAGCATTGCCAATTACACTTGTTTACTACATTCTTCTCGGGTTGTGAAATATCGGTCGTGCACCTTAGCTAGTTGGTTAACCGTGTTAGTGGGTAATGCGACGGTTGCTGAATGAGAGAAAGAAGACGTTTCAAAAGATGATTATAGAATTTACCGATGATTTTTCAAGAGACGGGCCGTCCTCCCCCCGATATGAGGATCATGCAGCCATTAGATGCCAAAAGTTTTGGTTTCTCCATCGTTTCTAGCTAAAAGAGTTTCTGAAATTAAGCAGGAAAAGAGGGCAAAGAAGCAAAGGGCAGGCATGGAGGAGTGAAACAAGGCCTCAAAAGAAGGGGGAAAAAAAGACGAGAAGATTATTATAGGGTACTAGAAGGCGACGAAATGGTGCAAAATGATGTATATGAAGACAGGAAGTGATTAAATGGAGGAGTAAATTAAGGGTTTTTTTTTTGTTTTCTTTTATGTTGCAATCCTTGTTTTAGGGGGTTTCTGTTCTATGTAGTTCTTTGTTTTTGTTTGTTATTAGTGTTGGATTTTATTGTTCTTGTAGATTGGTGCAAGTATTTGCTATTGTCAATGTTTTAGTTTGTACACTTATGTATCTAGGATTTCTTTTTTTTTTTAGTATAAAAGGTAGTTATTTGATTGTGTTAGATGTCATATATGTTCTATCATATGAAATGTGTGTGTTTTTCCCTCAACCAAAGGATTAATGGTTTAGTGGTACCAACGGTATGACGATGACTTTGAGTTGATCGGTTTCAATTTCATCGATTTTTCAGTTCCTCGCTATATACATATGGAATTACCTAACTGCTCGAATAACTCCAATATCATAATGATATAAGTTACCACCAATCTAAGTATATGTCAATAGTTGAGCAAATCATGTCATCGGCAATATGAGTGATCGAAGAGCTTATTGTAGACTTTTAAAATATTTTTGATGGGATCATTTTAGACTTTAAATATTGAGTTAGGAAAAGGGAGATAGCTAGGTTATAACAACGATTGTTGAAGCCATGAATAATATCATAATTAATAAGTACATCATATAATAAAACAAATAAATGAGTTAAAAAGGTGATATGTTAAGGAAAACGTATCCTTTAGGAGCATATTTGCTTTTCTATCATTAGTGGGAGTGTGGTGGAGGCTCCTCTTATTATTTTATCAACAAAAGGTTTAATAAGAAATCGTATAACCCAACCATATAGACTTCGTTTTTTAGTGATCGAATTATTAGATGTATTTTGATGAATTAACATGGTTAACTTTTATTTTTAGTTTATTGATTTGAGCATACCGAAAATTAGGATATAAAGTCTAGCCATTAAATTTAAGGATAATACAATATATCGAATTTTTGTTAATTCATTTTATATATATATAATACCGTCTCACTAAACGTATGATATACGCGAAATTCACAAGGCCGACAATAGTCTGAATCTATATATGTTTTCTTTATAACTATATTTACTTATTTACAAGTGCACTACGATTTATAAATTCTAAAGTTGGCAAAGTCGTTAGATTTATCTATTCATGCAAATAATTATTATTTTTAACCTACTATGTTGGAACTTGTATATGTGCTCACAATCATTCAATCTATAAGACTATAACACATTAACTAATGATTTTTCCCATGAAAAAGGTTGAAACAAAAAGAGAGAGGGGGAAGAAAAAAAGGTCAAATAAAGAAGGAAAAGGACCAATAAAGTGGCTAAATAATTAACCTAAGCTTTCCCCCTTTATTATTGGCTTTTTGATGCGCCCACAATCCTAACCCTACCCCTTTATATAGTACGTTGGATGGAAATGAAACTATTCTTTCACACTATTCAATTACTAATTATATTTATTTTAATGAATTGTTGTCGTGAGTTTGGTCAAAATTGTTCCCTCCTACATTTTTTTTCTTCCTCCTATTGAAAATGATGGCCAATTGTTGGGTTAGATATTAACATCAAGGACCTCCATTTTCAACAACCAACTAAGTGGTAGAAAGTAGGGATGGGAATCTTTATTGGGGAGCTTGCAATGGGTTCGTTCCATACCAAACCGAATCGGTGATCAGTATGATATCGCATCATATTCAATTTGACACCATTCATTTCATTCATCATATACAGCCAAGAAGCTACAACCCAAAACATCCTGATGTGCTAGTGAAAGAGTTTGCAGTTAGAATGAAAAAGATTAACAACAAAGCCGATCGTGTTAGACCATTGGAAAATGAAGGTTTTGTATTGGCTAAGAACTCTCCCGCCCGTGTGTGACACGTTACTTCTCGATCCCTTGAATCTGCCGGCGAAACAACTATGTTTGCATAAGTGGAGTCTCCTTTCTTCTTGATCCCGAATTCTAGACCCAATTAAACATCTACACACAATTATTTCTTGATGATTTGGTAATTGTGAAAAAACCTTGGCTTACCCAAAATGCCTTCTTTGGTTTTCTTTCTTTTGTGGACCAAATTGAAAGGAAAAAAGAAACTAATCAATCAATTGATTAGAGTCTAGGGTCTCTAGAAGGGAATTGGCCTTTGATTCTTTTCTTTAAGCAAGCCATTGAAAATGGGGGGATGCACATGAATGAATTTGGCAGAGTATATAGAAAGAAGTGTAATAACAAAAGAATATATGCCGGCCGGCGGCCGTTGGTTCAGAAAAAAAAAATGTAAGGAATTGGTCAATTGGAACTTTAATCTCATGAGGATAATAAACATATCTAGATAGTAACTTAATTATTTACCTAGAATTTGGGGGAAACGATGTGCATTAATCTCATGGGGATAATAAACATATCTAGATAGTAACTTTAATTATTCGTAAATGACCATTTTGATTAGCAAACAACAGAACATAATTAATTACGATTTGATTAGTGTATTTCATTGTCCAACCACAAGCTGCCACGACTGTGCTACCAACATTCTCGTCGATGAAATTAACCATTTTTTTCGTTTTCCCAAAAGGTTAATTCTGTAGCCCCCGATCGAGATTTGGTTGTAGCAATGGAAGGGAACATACGTTGCATAAATTTGGCCTCTAGAAATCCCCACCACCTACGTTCCACACATTGGTTACATTTATTGGCACAGTCAGAAATATAATTGAACGGGCTCCAAAGATTGTTTAGATTGTCGGTTTGCCTTCATGATAAATTCTCTAACAACGGGAGAATGAGGTATAGGGTATGAAATTTTCTTTTACCGCTCCTATAGGTCTTTGGTTTGATGTTAATTATGTTTTTCGAATGGAATATATGGATGCCCAGTTGCCCACGATCACCAACAACGTGGATCCACCAATGCTCATATCAAATATTGAACGAAGCGAGCATGTAACCTATTATGGACTACACGTAGCTCCATCGATCTCTGCAACAAGAGTAGAGCTCCTAGAAACAATTTGACTCATTTGAAAGTTCACCATGTGTAAAATCAAAATTCAACAAAATTCGAAAATTCTTACGATCAAGAGATCTCAAATGGTAGATATGCAACTTATAAAGTTAAGCGGTCGATATATACGAACACGAGCAGTTGGCAACCATATCATGACTAGGATGTGTGCAAAATCAGTCAACATGTTAGTTTGGGATGTGAGATACATTTAACGAAGTGGACATATAGATTAGCCAATTAGGGTTTACAGTATACATTCCCCAACTTCAAAGTTTTAAACCGTTGATTGATACATTAGCTTAGAGTGCACTACGTACCAAATAAATACCAATTGAAGTTAAATGTCGAAAGCGACGTCGTATGGACGCCCTCACGTGGGAGGGATGTACCACATAATTAAAATTGGCATTAAATTCTCCCACGTGTGTGTCTTCCTTTTAGTTTTCCATTTTCTCAAATATTGCGAATAAAAGCGTTTTTAGTTACTAAATACATTAATTCAATTATATAATGACATAAAGTTAGGAATGATAATGAGTCTCGCCTTGAGTAACTAATTTGATCATCCAATTGTTACCTACGATTCCATTGGATCGAATCCGAAAGTACGTATATGCATTTTTAATAATTTTGGGTTTGAGCTTATTTTGAATCGGCTCCAATTTGGTCAACTCATTTGAGTCAGACCCAACCCAAATGAATCTATTTGTGTTCATATGCACACAAACAAATAATATAAACTATCTTATCAATTATGCTCAACCCAATTACACATTTAATATTGATGCATACTCTGTTTTATCTGTACAATTCTGTTTTGTTTCTTAAGTTTATTGCCATTATAATTATATAAAAAATTGATGCATACTTCCACTTTATGTTTGTTGCGTAACAAACAATGTAATAGTGTTAGTGAAGGGTATAAAATTCATTATTGACAAATGCGTCACAGAAGATAATCAATCGTAGTACTGACCTAATTAAAAAAAGTTAATAATTAAAAGCGACGACCTGTTTGGTTTTAGTGAAAAGTGTAGGCATATATAGTACGCTAGGGTTGATATGCCAAGCATACAATTGACCAAATGATATGAAACACACATGTGATGATAAACCTAAACCTAATGGATGGTTCAATTTCAACCAACGACAACAACATGCACAATTATTGTAACGATTGCCAATGTCAAAATCACAGAGGAAAGAAATCACATCGTTTAGGATGACTGACCTTTTTAATATATATGCGGAATGGAAATGTCATCTTAACGATTTGAGTAGTTAGATAGTTATGATGATAATCTTATATGATTTTTTATATGTTTTCTTAAATGGAAGTTCAGTTTTATACATTATGTATAAATAGTTAGAAAATTAGTAAAATGAGTAGTATTAGGTAAAATTATATAGTTATATGTTCCTCGCATTAGTTTGAGCTTTATTGTCCCTTGTACTAAAAAGTTAGTGCTTCCCCTTTTAAGTACTAACTTATTGTACAAGGTAGTTGGTTGTATGTTATATAATTTTTTGTTTTGTTTTGATAATAAGATGGGTTGAATCAATGTGGGATTACAAGAATTTTAGTACCCGTGTCACCATGTCGAGAATAAGGTAAGTCATCCCTCTAAA